TGATGTCGAATTTTCAAAAGAAAATCGCATGAAAAGTGTCAGGTGGCAAGCAGGTAACAAAGATTTTGGGTGTAATCGACTTATTCACATGAAATAAAATTGTATTTTTTTATTATAAAATGCCAGTAGAAAAAATCTTGTATACAATACGTTACGAAACGATGTCTTTTAGTCACTCGACGTGTTGTCGACAATTTTCACGTCGCGTGCCTAAAAGACGCTCATTTCGTAACTTATTGTATAAATAGCTATTTTGCCTTTGCATTTGTGGTATCGCATCCTGTTGACACATGCAACGCTGGTAAACATTTATAAACTTCATTTTTCAGCTTCTGCACTATTTATTGGAATGATCCGTTTTTTATTCCCTTGTCCTAATTCCATAAAAAGGTAGGTTTCTTTCAAAGAATTTACTTCAATAAATTCAGAATAGTGGTAAATAAGTAATACCAGAACATTTGCATCTGCAGACTTCACCAACACTTTCTTTGGTGAAGTATCTGATATTCATATAAGACGTGGATTATAAGTCGTTCATTAGTCTCATCATGATTCGATTTCAAATCTTTCAATTCGGTTACACGGATACACCATCCTTATTGACAGGAAAGCATAACTCTGGGTTTTCAAAACCACCAGGGATGATCAGAGTTTCTTATTTGTCAGCTAAATGTTCCAAAATATAACCAGTTACAAATTTCAATAGGGATTCTTCATTTTCTGACAATTTTAAAAAATTCCGAAACTTCATCACTTTTCTCTTTCCAGAAACTTCATACGCATACGTATCTGCGAAGTTAGTTCTTCTGCGTCTTTCCAAAGACTTGACCGATAAAAACCACCGTTATTCTTAGTGCTTCATACCTTCGACCAAGTGAAAGAATTTGCTTCAGAAAAATACATGCGAGTTCATTAAAAGTTAAGTTGAAAATACTTTATCATTTAGTCCTTGAATAAGTACGATGCTATCTATTATAAGTGAATTGAAGGGATTGTGACCAAAAGTGAAGTTTTAGTGCGAAAAAATCGAAGAACAAATATTTGAACCGCATCTTGCTACGATTAACCGTTTCCGAGTATAAGGGTGGTTTAAAGTGACAAACGCCTAGGCTGTGACGTCACACTGGCTTCGGAGGCACAGTTAAAATATGTGTAAAATTTTCGAAGACAAAAGTCAACGATCTCACTTAAAGCAAATTGCAACCACTTAAAGTATAGAGCACGGTTCAACCACTGAACAACCAGAAGGATATGATTTCGGCGGTTAGCCGGTGTGACGTCACAAGTTCCCGCAAAATTTATTTTCATGAAGAATTTTCTCGGATAGTATGTTGAATGAAAGACTGCGGTTTCCACGGGAGATCTTAGATTTTTTTTCTTGATTTAAGTAGCTTAAGTTGCTTTTTTTAGTCACACCCTTGTTCAACATCAGTTCGAAGAGAAGCGACTGTTGAATATGGTTCAAACTTTAATAATAAATCAGACAGCTGTTTTTCGCATACGAACGCACAAAACTGGAAAAGTCAGAAAATGCACCTCTCGGTGAATGCACAAATAATTCCGTCGCGACGCGGTTCACGATGGGCTGAGCGCACTCCAGGGCTCTTGGATAAAAATGTATATTTCTATAACCGTTAAAGTTGGCACCTTAATTTTTTTTCTGAAAACTTCGTCAATGTTTTTACTACATTTGATTCGATATATATGTATTGAAATTTTCAATAATACACATTGCTCCCGCAGGGTGAAGTTTAAGATGCACGATTTTGATAATTCTATATTCCTAACTTTTTAACAAAAAAACCTTGAGCCTTTTCGAAATTTCTGAACTGTCATTAGAAGCGCTCATATTTCAAGTATAAGTGTGCAAAAAATCAGAATTTTAGATTGTATGCCCAAATTAATACAGCAGGTAATGTTTAGAAAAATGTAGTTTTTCAAATTCGAGCTTAGTCACGTTTAAGGGCCGATTTCAAAGTTCAGTCTTATTAAAAAAAGTTGTACATTCCCATTTCCTATGCCCCAAAGTGTCCTCTACAAGATGATATAGGTTTCATCTGGTTATACCTCGGAATCACCCACCCTTAGAAAACAGCGAGTTAGAGCAGTGATTTTATTCCACTATTGTTGTAGATTTTGGTTTTCAGCTTTACAGGTAACTTGGACCGGAATCTGTAGCGCATTCTACCATACGCCGACCCTCCTAGTCGTATTCTCCTATTATAATTTCAAGCTCTTGATTGACTTTGAGACTTTGCCAAGCGGTATTCCCTGTCCTAGATACTTGTAGGAGTTGACTATTTTCACCTGTTGGCAGTGGCGTAGCCAGCCTTGCGGGGCGGAAGGGGCAAACATATGAGGGGGCGCATAATTTAATTCTTTTGGAGGAGGGGGAGGGGGTAATAAATAAATGTTTGTATGATTTTGTACTATTTGCTTATTGGGGGAAAATATTGAAGATGAAAAGCCCGCCGGAGGCGAAAAACTTCCCCGGGTGCCACGCCCAAAAAAGTTTATTTTAAGCCTTCAAAAACAATTTTTTTTTGGGGTGCCATTCCGAAAAACATTTATGTATTAAAAGAAGTAATGTGTGGACATAACGTTAACTTAGAAAAATCCTGCCGGACGTCTCCGGACGCCTTGAAAATTAGAACAAATCCGTGGAAATCCGGAGGGATGATAGCTCCTAGTTTGATATAGTTATTATCCTAACAAGTGCGGAAAGTTATATTTTCCCGCACGTGAACTGTCGATACCCAAACGACGCGACGCGAAGCGGAGTTCGGGCAAGCAGTTAAGTGCGGGAAAGTTACTTTCCGCAAGAGTTAGGATCACGATTTCTTCTACAAGCACACACTTTATATATTTTTGTTCAAATTTTATTCTTATAACAATTTTCAGTAAATTCTATACAGGTGTTCCAGGTATGCCGTGCGGGAAAAAGATAGTTTCCGAATTAAAATGCGTACGGGAAAGTGGACAAAAACGCACGCTTGTAGAAAAAACAAATAAAAATACCTACCTACATTGAAATTCATAATAGATGTTTTTCAATTTAGTTTTTCATAAATTATTAGTGAAGTGGCAGAAAAAATCGGCGGTATACGGTACTTTTATTTTAACCACATCAATTATCAAAACAGAAACTCATGTTACCTTTGATTGAACTGAACCATTTTGCCAACAATGCCAACTTACGATAAAGAATAAAGGATGGATATGTCAATAAAATAAATAAGAAACAGCATAATTTTATAATTTCTTGTTTTTGTTTTTTAAGAGCGGTAGGGGCGCCATACGTGTAGGGGTGGGGGGGGGGCGTCGCCCCCCCTACCCCCCTACTGGCTACGCCACTGCCTGTTGGTTTTCTATGGTTTTTGTGTCCCTATCTGTTTGCTTATTTGTCATAAACTCTGTTTTTGATATGTTCATTTCTAATCCGATCTTCTTGACTTCTTGCAGTAATTCTTTCAGCATGATTTCTAAGTCTGTTTCGTTCGGGCGAATATTACGATGTTATTAGCGAATCTTATATTATTGAGGTTTTCTCCAGATATACAGGGTGTACCATTTAAAACGAAACAGAAATATCTGATGCCACGTTTATTATTAAAAAAATAGCTCGTACACGTAATTTGATTTTCAAAGGGGGAAGTTTTCTGCAACCATTTCTAGCACTTCAACTTTAACCCTCTTGGCGGGGTGGGACCAACCCTTACTATTTCGAATGGTACAAGGGGTCGAGTGATACCTCTTTTAAAAGAGCGTTCAATTATCTTTCATTTGATGTCATTTGAAAGAAAATTGAACGCTCTTTTGAAACAGGTATCACTCGACTCCCTGTTCCATTTGAAATGGTAAGGGCTGGTCCCACACCCCCTAGAGGGTTAAGTTAGTACTGAAAATGTTTCAAACACTCATATAATCAAATTACGTGTACGAGCGATTTTTTCCAAAAATAAAAGAGACATCAGATATTTAGCATGTTTCGTTTTAAATGGTATACCCGGTATATTGATCCTCCTATTTTTCCAATGCAGTTCCTTGAACACATCTTTGAGGACTAGGACTAGGGTGAATAGCTTATAGGTGATAATATTATATCGCCTTGTCTTACGCTTCTTTTGATATTCACTTAGCTCTTTCTATCGTCCAGAATTCGATAGTGTTGAAGGCTTTCCGAAAAGCAAGCTCATGTAAATATAAAATAATTCAAAAATGCAATTTCGACATGACATTTCTAAATCAGTACATGATTATGGTACAAGATCTGAAGGTCATACCCAATTCCAGAATAAATGAACTGTCCACTTAACGCTTCATCGCGAGCATATAATAATTCACCGCTTATTGTTAAACAAGCTGAAAACTTGAATTTATTTAAAAAATTGTTAATGCTATATTTAAACAACTAGATTATCTATAATCTATCTACTTGAATATGGATTTTTGACTTTGTATCTCGATGTATGTACATACCTACTTGTTAACTTTTTAGCAATTTAGCAAATTATTGATTAGTAATCAAGGCCTACTTAATCATTGTTATAATATAGTTTTTTTATTGTTTTCTTCAGACCGGTGCCTCTAAAACTGATTTAAGAAGAGATGTTCTAACATTGATGATATTGTAATATTGTTGGTAATATACAGGTTTCAAAAAAAAAAATCGATGAATGTTAGACATGTTGTTGTTATATTCGGTCGTTTCATTTAGTATTTTTATTGTGTGAAGATGTTCTATAGTGCTTTAGCTCTTTCTATAGCCTGCTTGTTCTTTAGGAGGTAATCATCGAATTTTCTTTCTAGGCGGCTGATGATTATTCTCATAAACAGTTTGTATATCTGAGGCAGGAGGCTTATGATGAATATTCATGATTACCTAACAACTATATAAACTGCAACTTTTAGTAATGACCTACTGGTTAGGGAATTGAAAAATTACACTATCAAACATCTGAAAGCATAACATACCTTACCTCATTGTTCTTTTTTTCTAGGATTTCGAACGATTGATAGCTGAAATACCTGGTGCAATAGGACATATAGTTCCTTGGCCTTTTTTCAATCATGTCGACTTCGTATATGCCAAAGACGCAAAGAAACTCCTGTATGATTACTGTGTCCGCATGTCGAAAATGTATGCTACAGTGACCGAAGCCTGACGAAGATCTATTGGTTTCGCATGGATTTTGCTTTCCAAATTAACTGAAAAAGGGGCATAAATTGCATACCTACCTATGCATAAAAAATTCAAATAATAACTTGTATATTACCAGAAAAAAATTATCCGCTTGACACACCACAAAATTCAATATTCTTGTACTTTTGAATCAACAGGAATTACTTTTGCATTCGTGGCTTTAGGAACAACAAACATAACATAAATTTTTGTATGTATAACACTGCAATATTTAAAATCAAATAAAGCATTAATTTAACTAATCATTGTCATTATATAGCCATTCACTCCCCAAATTGGTTTTATAAGAATCTTGGCAGCATCATTATCTGAGGGTTCTTGAATGCTAAAAGCCAATGCGTCGATTGGCCACTTGCAATCGAGTGCGGAAAAGTGGCACTTTCCACACTAGTCAGGAACGCAATTTTTTTCTACGAGTGTGCAGAAATATTTTCAATGAGAGGAACTGTATGTACTATCAGGTCATTGTTACTATCCACTTTTAATTTAAGATTTAATTTCTCTAATTTTCTAGTCTTGATTAGTACTGAGATTTTTCTCTAAAGAATTTTTGTCTAAAATTATAACATTTTCAAAACACCTGCTCAATGCATCAACATGTCGCATTTTTGTACTATTTATGTATGTACACGGAGGAATCCTTCTTATGGCCCTTGCCAATTTTTTAGCGACCATGCACAGCTAATTTTTTATTTAGAATAGGCTCCAGCCAAGTTCTTAACTGTGGTAATAGAGTTAACTTTATTGAACCGTCTTACCTGTGGCAGCAAAGTAACTTTATTGTGACTATAAACGACTATACAGTTTTTTTTTATTACAATAATAGTAGATTATACCACGAGTCAATAATGATAGCTATTATTCCCGAGGAATATTTACGAACTGAGCCGCGTTAGCGGCGAGGGAGTTACATTCCGAGGGAATAATAGCCATTATTGCGAGTAGTATACTCTACTTTATTTACGACAAATTAATTTATTTGAAATTTCGTTTCCAAAAACGCTCTATGTTCATCTATCTCAATACAAATACACAAGCACTACGCGTTTGACACTGACACTTTTGAGTTTTTTCAGGTATATTGTTTCCATGGTAGCACCTACTACTTATTTAATTTGAGAAATTTTGTGATTGGTTTGCAAGCGGGAATAATGGCCATTAATCCCTGCGGGAATAATATATGGCATTATACTGCCAAAATCACAAATATAATACTTACATTATATGCCAGTCGTAAATAAAGTAACTTGATTGTATAGATTATACCACGAGTCAATAATGATAGCTATTATTCCCGAGGATTATTACGAACTGGGCCGCGTTAGCGGCGACGGAGTAACATTCCGAGGGAATAATAGCCATTATTGCGAGTAGTATACTCTACTTTATTTACGACAAATTAATTTACTTGAGATTTTCAATGAACCAATTTCATCCGTCTCATAATTTTCAATACAAATCCACAAGCACTACACGTTTGACACTGACACTTTTGTGAAATAATGACCATTAATCCCGCTACTCGTCATTAATCCCTGGAGGAATAACATATGTCATTATACTGCCAAAATCACAAATATAATACGCACATTATACATTAGTCGTAAATAAAAGTATTTTTGTGTGACCATAAAATTACTTTTTCTGCGATTGACAAGAAATGTCAGCATTTTTGACCGGTTGACAGGTCGCAAAACTCAATATTCTGGTATTTTAATTATGTTTCAATAGTTGCTAAGGAATCAGTGAATAACAAGACGGGAAACACTTTTCCGGCCTAGGCCGGGAAAGTGATTCTAGTACTGCTGAATAATTGGAACCAAAAGACAAACATTTAACAGGTATTTACCCGATCGCAGAAAAAACAGTATGTGTATTTCGGTGGAAAAGCACATTCTCGGCCTTCGGTGTTTGCCGCCCTCGGCTACGCTTCGTCCGTCAACTTACACCGTCGGCCGAGAATGTGTCACTTTTCCACCTAAATATACACAATATACTATTGCAGTGACAATAAAGTCAGTTGCTCATGGTTAAAAAGTTGATTATGGCCGTTTGCACCGATCATTTTACACTGAGAAATCCTCTTTATGGCCCTTGCCAATTTTTTAGCGACCACAGCTAATTTTTTTTTTAGAATAGGCTCCAGCCAAGTTCTTAACTCTGGTAATAGAGTTAACTTTATTGAATCGTCTTACCCGTGGCAGCAAAGTAACTTTGTTGTGACTATAAAGGATATCTTTGTTGCTACAAAGTGAATTTGGTGCTACTATAAAGTATTTTTGTGTGACCATAAAATTACTTTGCAGTGACAATAAAGTCAGTTGCTCATGGTTAAAAAGTTGATTATGGCCGTTTGCACCGATCATTTCAAGGACGCCTTAGCGATAAGTATCCAATGACATTTTTACGTGGAGAAATGTCACTTTAATAAGGAAAACTTATCGCTTCCTTATAATGGTCGGTGCAAACGGCCATTAGTGGCGTAAATATGTTCATGGGGTAAAAATAAAACACAAATACCTACAATTAAACAATATATATTTTATTAAAAAATAATATTTTTTTATAGAAAAAAAATATGGAAAGAAAAATGGAAAATTGTTATTCCCATTATAAGAAAAAAATACTCTTATAATGAAAAATCAAAAAACCTAAATCTATAAAGGAGCATAAACAATAAATACAATAATACAAGAGCCTTTATACACAGTGTGTAAAAAGTCCCGGAACAGTCAATTATTTCGAAACTGGTGCACAATATAAAAAAACTTCCTGTATAAAAGTTGAAGGTCTTAATAAAATCTATTGAAATAGGACTTTTGTAATTATACAGAGTGGCCCAAAAAGTTGTGCTACACAAAACTTCATTTTTTTCAATGAAATGATCCTTTTTTAATTACATTTTCTAATTCCTCTAGAGATTCTTAACAACAATTATGAAACATGTCATATGGCTAAACCCATTAGTTTCAGAAATAATTTGAGTTGAAGGACATAAATACGATAAGTACAATATTACCTACATTTTGCATTGTTTCGAGTTGCTTCAAAATGTTTCACGTTAAATCCTGAAAAAAAAAACATTTAACTTGTGTTAAATGAAATGTACCTCACTCAAGTTTAGTCAAAATTTTATTAATAACTAAATTATTAAATATAAGCAGTAAAGTAAAATCAACAATAACTTTGAAAGAACAGAAATAAAATTAGGTGTAAGACGTTATTTTATTAAATGCTGAAAATGTCCTCCTCCCACAATTTGACAATGGGCTAGGTTATAATAAAATTTATTGATGACGTTTTGTAATATTTCTTAGTTAATAGATGCACATTCTTCAATAATGCTTCTTCTCAATTCGTTCAGATCTGGAGGTTTTGTCACAAACACTTTATTTTTCAGATGTCCCCAAAGAAAATAATCAAGGGGCGTTAGGTCTGGTTACCATTTTGAACCAACTCGAAACAATGCAAAATGTAGGTAATATCGTACTTATCGTATTTATGTCCTTCAAGTCAAATTATTTCTGAAACTAATGGGTTTAGCCATATGACATATTTCATAATTGTTGTTTAGAATCTCTAGAGGAATTAGAAAATGTAATTAAAAAAGGATCATTCCATTAAAAAAAAATGAAGTTTTGTGTAGCACAACTTTTTGGGCCACCCTGTATAATTACATAAGTCCTATTTCAATAGATTTTATCAAGACCTTCAACTTTTATACAGGAAGTTTTTTTATATTGTGCACTATTTTCAAAATAATTTACTGTTCCGGGACTTTTTACACACTGTGTATAGGGAGATCAGTTATGAGATAGGAGGTTGATCAAAACAAACTTGGAGAAGTCCTGTGACGAATGAACTGCCTCCTCGATCAATTAAAAATACCTATAATAATATTCGAAAAAAGGATTAGGCTACGCCATCTTGTTTAAGACAAAAACAGAAAACCAACATTTTTTATTTTAGAATATCTTGAAGAGACTAAGAATAAGCTCATAAAAAATATTAAATAGATACATCATTATATACCGTTGTATATACCTACCCTATGGGGCGCCATATGTTCCATAATTATTTCGTCTTATATATAAAATATTTTGCAGGAAAAATAATATATATATCGAAATTAGCACCATGCAAAGTTCGATATACATAAAACTTTAAAAAAATATATATCGAATTTGGCCCCATGCAAAATTTGATATTTATAAAACTTTGAAAAAATATTATTTATATTGAATTTGGCACCGTGCAAAGTTCGATATAAAACTTTTTGGTTTGAAAAGTCTCCGAGAGATGGCGCTACTTTTGATCATAATTTTTGTTTGTGTATGGTGTGTTGGATTGAAATAAGGTATTTTGGACGGCCGTTAATTGTTATTTAAATAGCTGCAATTAGGCTGCATTGATAATTGCTAATATTGATAATAAATATGTATTGTCATAAGCGCGGCAACGGCAACACTGGTGAATGATAACTGAGGTTGTGTTGTGCGATTTTTTTCCGGGAATTGGCGATGAAGTGGAAAGAGGTCAGCAATTACTTGTACAACCTCTGCATATTCGATTAATCGAAGAATGTGCAAGTCATTTGGAAAATTGTTGTCACACAGTGAGCGTTGTATTTTCAAGTTTCCCTATTTTGTCTAACAACGTAGAATTAAGTTTAGCTAAAATTTATGAAATTGTTTGGACTCTGTTGCAGCAATTGGAGTCATTTTAGAAGGTTTGTATGTATAAGTACCTACCTACTTATAGTCTGGCTAGCGAAACGGCGAACTGCAAAAGAATTTGCTATTTTGCCAAACTTGACGGAAAAAATAATAAACAAGTTGGTGACATATTTTTTTTGCTATATGGGCATGTGTGGTATTTTGAAATAGAAAAAAATCCGACAACATTGCGAAATGATGGATGTCGAGAGGCGTGATTATTCAGAGGTATGAATTCTATTGGTTAGAGTCTGAACGACAGCAGTGACAGCACGCAGTGGCGTGGTTATTGGCGAAACTAAAGAATTTTTTTTCATATAATTTTATTGGTTTATTTCTTTAGTGTTTTCGGTGCCACTGAACCGAAAGACATGGCTGTCATCAGGTGGTGTCAGTGAATATTTTTAGGTTACGCCCCACTTTTCTTCCCCCTTTCGTCTCTACCAAGTTACCACTTGCCAGACTATATCTTATTTTATGTCATACCAATACATTATTATGTTTTTATACCTTAGATACCATCTACATAATTCATTACTTTATGCCCGTGCGGGCATAAAGTACACATTATGGCCCGCGCGGGCATAAAGACGCAAAAAACAGTTTTCAATTAACTTATTCTTTATTAACAAAATATAAATTTACGCTTATAAACATTATTTTTGTCAAAAAATTATGATTTTGCACACTGATGACAACTTGCGAAGTGACACTTTTTTCCCAGGTATTTATTATTCACAACCAACTGGTATGACATAATAGTTATTTATGATATAAGTGTTAAAAGTACATTTTTAAGGCACGCATGTGAAAGTTTGCAGAATGAGCGAAGCGAATTCTGCAATTCACATAAGTGCCTTAAAAATACTTTTAACACAAATATCATACAATATTTTTTCTACAAACGGCAATAAAAAGCAATAACCACTAACAAATTGGATTTTTAAATGAATAATAAATTGGAAGCATCTTTCCTACATAAAATTCTTGAATTTGACATTTGTGAAAAAATCCATACAACCAGCACCTTGTTTTACAGGTAACGAAATGTCTTGTCAGTTTCTTGAAAGTATGTCGTGGTCAGGAATGCTTTTTGCTAAAAATGCAACAAAATACAGAAGAAAAAGAGAGGTGCATCGCCCCTTCGAAAAATATAGATGAGGCGGCCAATCGGGCTACCTCAGTTGTTCAAATTTCACCATTATTATCAATGTAAATAACTGAAAATACAAACTTTTTTTGACGTCCGCTCTCAAATTTTGATGTTTCACTTTTAACACTAGTGCTATAAAGACTTTATGGCACTAGTGCGATAAAGTAACATTTTTAATGCTTCGGGGCGGTGTTAAAAATTGCATTTTTAACACGTTTGTAGAAAAAAGTTTGTATGCACCACGGGTACTAATAGATATATATACCCTTGGGCGACTTACGAACCTTCGGGCCAGAGGCCCTCGGCTTTGTAAGAATGTCGCCCTCAGGGCATAATCTTCTACTTAGTACCCTTGATACATAAATAACTATTAATTTGCTAGAATAAACTAGGTAAATGGAAATGTGTGTTTTGTAGAAACAGCTATAGGTAATGCTGGAAATTGCTATACAGTACCAACAGCATCATCTGGCCAAGTTGGCCGACCCCATTATGATAGGGTCATTTCACTGGTTAACCGGCCGTCAAATAGGTATTACATAAAATAATGTTTGTTTCGAACTTCAATTTTCATAAATATTCAGGGGCCGAGAACTACCTTATCTCGGCCACTACTAGAGTTCAGTGGCCGAGAACCCATGGATCCATATATTTTGTGTGTTTCAATTGTCGGCCATTATAAAATTCCTGATTGCATGTTCAATGGAGTAGGTACCTATACCACCTACCTTACTAAAGTTAAAGTAACCATCATTTAAGATAACTCAGAGACCTAAACAATTTTGCTAAAAGAAAAGGTTTTGTTTCTGTCTTTTTTAGTGGCTCCCACAAAAAAAAGTGTAAGTTCCAAGAAAAAAACAACTGTCAGACCCAAGGCAAAAGCAGTAGCTAAACGAACCATGTTTCAATATTCTGAAAGTTATTTGCGACTTTTTCTAAATTGACATTTATTTGCCGCCACCATTTTATGTAAGACGCTGTAGGAACTTTTATACCACATTATATTAAGAAGACACCAAAACGCATAAAACTTAGAGTAGAAACTTTTAATTCAAATGTACTAATGGAGGAAATATAAACAAATATGTTAAAAAAAAATCAATATCTCTAAGTCTAAAAAGCCAATTTTGACAATCCATAACTCAAAAACTGATCATAGGATTGAGTTGTGCCCATGAGAACTTATAATCAGGACATCGAGGACTACATTATATCAAATTTTCAAAAAATTTAGCCGAAAGCCATTTTCCATAAGAAATATGCAAGGTCCTTTAAATCCATTTTTTTGTTTGTATTGTTTTGCTGCTCTAAATAATTCTAGGTTGTACCTACTTAGTTAGATCATGACTTAAAATAGATTTTCTTGGCAACTTCCCTATGTCCTTGCAAGTGAGGCTAAGTTTGTTCTTTGATTTAATAAGGAATTGCAGTTTTAGTTTTTCTTCATCAAAAATCACTTTTATTGGGTCATCTTGATCATTTGTTGGAGTACTTTTTCCGTCAGAGAAACTTTTGATTCTGTAGGCAGTAAATTTATTTTTAACTTGATATACATCTAGTTTCTACACCATTTTTTCCACCATTCTGGTAACATTCTCGTTGTTTTTTTGAGGAATTCCCAATTCCTTGAATTATTATATTATTTTTCAAATTCAGTTGTTCCTGTTGATTAAAGAGTGATTTTATTTTATCAATTTGATCCTGTAGCTTGTCGTTTTTTTTAAGTTGCTCCGCCAAAACGTCATGCAAGGTGAAGCGGCCATCTTCTTTCCCATTTGGGTGTTTATCAATATTATTGGTATTTATTACTTGGTATTAGCAAGTTGGAGCGACTGAAAGTCATATCGAAAATTTTGAACCTTTCTTCACACATGTACCTAATAAGTGCAATAATGTATTTTCACATGAATAACAAAGTGAATTTTGAATTTAACTTTGAGATAATAATTTTCAAGCTGATGTTATTTTGCGGCAAGATTTATAGGGTGAAATACATGTTTTTCAAAATATGTACCTATGTATAATATGTGTCTGGCGTAAACAAATTTTGTTATTATTAATATATTATTCATACAGCTTAGGGTCCGTTTGAAATTGTATTTAAATTTAATCTGAGTGGGTAGATAAGACAAAAAAAAACGTCGAATTAAAAAATGCATTTTTAATTGTCCAGTTAAATTCAAACTAAAGGGTTTTACATTTTTCAACAACCATGCGGTTCAATATTTTTGAGTATTTGTAACACTTTTATTTTACGTAAGAAAAATCAATTACCAAAATGTAACCTTATTTGGATTGCGACCTTAGTTCAACAGAGTTTGTTAAAGTGTCCACGTGCCCGGTTCGTGGATTCGTGCGCCACCAATTTTTGAAACTAAATCGGAAAAGTCCTGCGATGACTGCAGGTTGAACTAAAGTACAAACCAAATTATTATGCCTGAAATGTAAGAAAAAGAAAGCAGGTAATTGGCAATACAACAAAATCAGTATTTATTGAATATTAAGTATTGATTTAGTACAAGTTATGGTGAATAAATAATTATTATGACAAGTATTCAGAGGCTAGTATGACGACTAGCAGGAATAAAGAACCTAAAGGCTTCCTCATAGTCAGATTTAAGAAAACTGTCTGTCGGTATTGATATGTATGAATACCTATGTAAGCAGAGAGCTATACTTAAAACTAAAATAACCAATAAGTGCGAATTAACACACACCCAGCGAAAGTGATCACTCCGCAAATAAATGGGGTCATATGTTTACTTAAATGTGAGTAACTTAAGTTACCTAAGCCATATACGATATTTTTAAATAATTAATAAAAAAAAAATACACTAAACTACTTAGCTTTATGCCGACAATTAACAATGGGTCTGGGATTTCACACTCGTACCAGATGATCTATCTCATCAATGAAAACTAGTTCGCCGAGTCTTTGCTATTCAGATACAGTGGTGGGTACTGCATACCATCAAAACATCCACTGAGTTGCGTTATCGAAAACGGTAGCATAAAACCGTACCATAAGACCCTAAAGAAAGCACCAATGAGTAAATAAATTACCCGTAAATCCCCATTGAAATTATGCCACTTGGGATATGAAATTGTACGCTTCAATTCCCAAGTTTTAACCTATTTACTAAATATAATGAGTTCAATTCATTAAATAAGTTGCATTGCCAAAAAAAATATTAAAATAAAAAAATTATAAGTCTACCAATCAATGCGGCATAGAATGGTCCCCCAATAAAACATTAAAATGGAAAATTGCCATTATAATTACCTCGTGGATTTTTGAGGGTCACAGCTCAAAGGTTGAAGGTGAACGGAAGGTCATGGAACTCTAATTTCACCTACGCTGGCTGATCCAATTTGGAAGTTCACAATAACGAGCAACAATAAAATCAAGGCTCTAAGAGTCTAGGCTCAAACAATTCAATCCAAGCGACGTGATGTGATATTCTATTGTGAGAATAGAACTAATTAATTTACAATAAAACAAATTCACAAAATGGTGGACTTACCGACTAGAAGAAATAGATAAATCCCTTAGAAAGGTGATTTGGCTGCCAAAAGGTAACAAAAACCAAAACTAGACTGGCAAAACCAAAATTGAAATTATCTGGATGACCGGATCCTAATTAAATAGAGAAAATCACTTAATTTTCTTTATGGTCAACCGGATAAAAAAAAACTATTCTTCAGGCCAAAGCCAAAGTGTTCTAGTCGCTGGACGAAATAGAAGAGACCGTTGTACGATTTTTTGGAACCTAAACCAGAAATTTCTAGGCACTCACTCTTTTTTTTATGTTACATTTTTTTCTATCGAATTCCACATTCCACACTTTAGGAAGGATTGAAAGATAACGACAAAGATATCGATAGTCGTCAGCGAAACCTCCAAAGAGACTCAACAAATGGGACCGAATCAATCCACACTAATCAGGAAAACACTATTCTCATTAAAATCTATAAATAACTTCACTTATTAAATAATATTGTCCATACCTTGTCTGACACGACACCAATTATATCGACATGTATTGAAAAACCCAACCCTACGCGACCAAAACCAAAGTACCAGCAAATTGATCGATATAGGTACTCGATAACAGGTAGATAAAAGAAACGAAATCCTCCAGTAAGAGAGAGACAGAGAGGGAGTGAAAACTAAAGGAATTAATCCTTCGAAATGAGCCTCGCGCGAAAATAAAATTGAATGACAATTAGCTGGACATAACCCCTTTTTATTTGAAAATCAAAACAATGTTGGCTATCGACTAATGAAATTGATAATTTATGTATATTCCTTTTAAGAACAACAAGAATAAGATAACCAGGCATTGTTCAATAAATATTCATCTGCAATGGTCAACTATCATTAGACAAATGATAAGGAGCAAAATCTTGTCTGGCTGTGCCTGAAATTATCTAAAAAGATGCAGAGTAAGGTAATTAATATCCAATCAATTAAGTCAGCTCTAAAATAATATTTGTGTGTTACCAGTTAAAACGCTGAATGACTCATTTAATGGGAAGAGCAAAATTAAAATGTTACAACTTAAATGTTACAGCTTGTCGTTTTTTTTTAGTTGCTCCGCCAAAACGTCATGCAAGGTGAAGCGGCCATCTTCTTTCCCATTTGGGTGTTTATCAATATTATTGGTATTTATTACTTGGTATTAGCAAGTTGGAGCGACTGAAAGTCATATCGAAAATTTTGAACCTTTCTTCACACATGTACCTAATAAGTGCAATAATGTATTTTCACATGAATAACAAAGTGAATTTTGAATTTAACTTTGAGAGAATAATTTTCAAGCTGATGTTATTTCGCGGCAAGATTTATAGGGTGAAATACATGTTTTTCAAAATATGTACCTATGTATAATATGTGTCTGGCGTAAACAAATTTTGTTATTATTAATATATTATTCATACAGCTTAGGGTCCGTTTGAAATTGTATTTAAATTTAATCTGAGTGGGTAGATAAGACAAAAAAAAACATCGAATTAAAAAATGCATTTTTAATTGTCCAGTTAAATTCAAACTAAAGGGTTTTACATTTTTCAACAACCATGCGGTTCAATATTTTTGAGTATTTAACATTATTCCATATTTTGAAATTTAGCCATGGTTTTGTGTTTCCTAGTTTTATGGATCCCGACACTGGTAAACATTTAGTGAGTACCTACTACAATTTTTGCTTTCAAGAACCAACACAAACTTATTTACTTTCAGTACGAATTTATGGAAAGCCACGATTGGGTTTACGAAAACCATACCGTTGTCAGTCCTGACGGATATCACATAAATGCGGTAAGATTACCACGTGCAAGAGGCGAAATCCCAGGCAACAAAAAAAAACCTTGTGTTTTGCTTGTTCACGGATATGCTAGCCAACCTCAACTTTTTATGGTAAAATGTAAGAGAATTTTACTAATTGTTTCACAGTTCTGTGAAAAAATGTAACGTTTTATTTTAAGTGAATGATTCCCTGGCAATGATGCTAGTGGAAGCAGGCTTCGATGTTTGGATTATGGCAACAAGGGGATGCGTTTACAGCCTAAAACATGAGTTTTTGAGTCCAAAAGATGCAAAATACTGGGATTTCAGGTAATTCGGATGATTTATTTGATTTGCGAAAACAATGCTGAAACTTGTATCGTAAATGAGGTTTTTAGATTATTAATAGTTTATTAGGATAAGCAAAAAATGCAAATTATTTTTAAAGATTCTAATAATATTTTATCTGCCGGCAAGAATGTAGACTCAATATTAATACTCCAGTACACTTATGGGTTGACCCTAAACAAATTATTATAAAGCTGGGACCCATCTCGATAGTTAGTGTTTTAGGTCCTTATTTACATATACTAAAAGTCCCCAAGCTTTCCGTGTTGCCTAACATCCCGAAATTATGTCCGCCATCTTGTATTTTGGCATATTTTTAATATGTTGTCAAATAACTTAAAATTCGTAAGAGATTCCAAAAAATGTCGAGATGTGAATTTTATGTAAAATTGGAATAAATAAATTTATTTGTCACTCATTTGTAAAACGTCATTTATCAAGTCAAAACATAAACAACGAAAATTGATTTTTACCAGTTACTGGCTCTACTAACTTGTAAAATTGACAGCTAAACTGTAAAAACTTTTTTCCTACGAGCGTGCGCAAAGTAGTACTTTTCCGCACGCATTTCCGGGCTCAAAGTTACACTTTTCCGCACTCAGTGCGGATACAGGCCTTATCCGCACTGAGTGCCGAAAAGTAATTATAATTGTCAAGCAACAATAAGTGCACCTGTCGACTTTGACGCATGATGACAAATTTTTCCTCTGTTTCTATATCAGCCAACATCTATACAAACACCAAATATAAATTAACTTTGACACATTGTCAGATTTGTTCTTTATTTATATGCAAAAATCTACAAACTTTCTCATCAAATTTAAACGCTTTAAGATGAACAGCTCTGACGAGGATTTTCTGTTATGTAATTTTTTGATAAATGCATAGGTTCCCTTCAAGTTAATTAAAAATAATTAAACAAATTATCGTTTTTTTTAAACTTTTGTTATAACCTACCTGATATGAAGCTCGTAGGAAAAATGTTGTTCCTAACACGTGCGCAAAGTGTCTTTTCCGCACGCAAACACGTATCCGAACTCCGCTTCGCGTCGTTCGTATAACTGTGTTTGCGTGCGGAAAAGTAACACTTTGCGCACTTGTTAGGAAAATAACTATTTCCTACGAGCGTGCGCAAAGTAGTACTTTTCCGCACGCATTTCGGTTCTCAAAGTTGCACTTTTCCGCACTCAGTGCGGATACAGGCCTTATCCGCACTGAGTGCCGAAAAGTAAAAATAATTGTCAAGCAACAATAAGTACACCTGTCGACTTTGACACATGATGACAAATTTTTCCTCTGTTCCTGTTCCAGCTAACATCTATACCTATAAACACCAAATTTAATTAACTTCAACGCATTGTCAGATTTGTTTTCTATATATATGCATCTACAAACTATCTCATCAAATTTATAGCATTTTCCATTTGTCGAAACAGGGCAAAAAAATGTATCCTTATCCTTACATGTTACATGCTTTTAGAAAAAGATGCGGATGCACTCAGTGCGGCACTGATGACAAATGGAAATCGCCATTAAACGCTTTAAGATGAAGAGCTCTGACGATGATTTTCTGTTATATTTTTTTTTTGTTATGTAATTTTTTGATAAATGCATAGGTTCCCTTCAAGTTAATTAAAAATAATTAAACAAATTATCGTTTTTTTTTTAAATTTTTGTTGTTACCTACCTGATATGAAGCTCGTAGGAAAAATTTTGTTCCTAACACGTGCGCAAAGTGTCTTTTCCGCACGCAAACACGTATCCGAACTCCGCTTCGCGTCGTTCGTATAACTGTGTTTGCGTGCGGAAAAGTAACACTTTGCGCACTTGTTAGGAAAATAACTATTACCTACGAGCGTGCGGTAAAGTGCACTTTACCGCACGTATTTGCAAATGGAAGGTATCACTTTACCGCATAGTGTGCGGTAAAGTTAACTTTACAGCATAGTATGCGGTAAAGTAGAATACAAAGTGTGCGGTAAAGTGCACTTTACCGCATAGTGTGCGGTAAAGTAGAATTTGATATTTATAATAAAAAATCCTCTCTTTTTCAGAAAATGGATTTTGGATTATTTCTAAATCTTATCTAATTTCATTAATTAATCTGATTCATTAATTAATTTTATCAATGCCTTTTTTTGGAGATGTAGATGCTCATAAGTAAAATTTTGTACCTAACACATGCGGAAAGTGCCTTTACCGCCCTTAAGGGCTTGACCGAACTCCGCTTCGCGTCGTTCGGTCAACTGCCGTTGCGTGCGGTAAAGTATCACTTTCCGCATTTGTTAGGTAAATAACTATTACAAGTCAGTAGGGTCAGAGAATTATTTATTAAAATTGTATTACCTATATGTATTAATTTTTTATTTATTGTTTAAGATTGTTTACAAATGAGTAACAAATAAATTATTGTACATCATACGCCAGGTATCAGTTTTTATTTTTAACCATATATGAAATATTGTCATTAGGTACTGACTTTTCAAAAATTTGAAAATGTCACATTTCTGTCTTTTCATTTTCCTGCTCCATTACCTGTCCCAGGACGGGAAGTGAGGACGGGAAATTTTTTCCGTCCTCATTTCCCGTCCACGGACGGAAAATGGAGCTGGGAAATATTTCCCGTTCTCATTTACCTCTTCATTTGCCGACCTCATTTGGTTGCCCCGAATTTTTTTTTTTCAAGAAATTATGGTTAAAAATAAAATAGTATACAACCCTCGACGGGAAACTTCATTGCTGTCTCAAGGTTCAGTTTATCTCGACGCTACGCGTCTCGATAAACTATAAAACCTCTCGACCAGTAATGAAGCATTTCCCGTCTCGGATTGTAATATACTATTACTGGCTCTTGAAGGTGACAAGCTCGCCTGACGGCTCGCTAGTCATTTCCTTCAATCACCAGTAAAAACTGTTTTACCTGGCTAATAATATAACAGTATATTAAAATCCGAGACGGGAAATGCTTCATTGCTGGTCGAGAGGTTTTATAGTTTATCGAGACGCGTAGCGTCGAGATAAACTGAACCTCGAGACAACAATGAAGTTTCCCGTCGAGGGTTGTTTACTATTTTATTTTTAACCATAATTTCTTGAAAAAAAAAATTCGGGGCAACCAAATGAGGTCGGCAAATGAAGAGGAAAATGAGAACGGGAAATATTTCCCTGCTCCATTTTCCATCCGTGGACGGGAAATGAGGACGGAAAAAATTTCCCGTCCTCACTTCCCGTCCTGGGACAGGTAATGGAGCAGGAAAATGAAAAGACAGAAATGTGACATTTTCAAATTTTTGAAAAGTCAGTAATGACAACATTTCATATATGGTTAAAAATAAAATACTATTTGGTGCTTATTTCACCTTTCTAGGTACAACCGTTTCCAAGATATAAAATTTTGAATTCTGGACCCACATAACAAAATTGCATCCTTAGAATGTAATAGGAATGTTTTTTTTTAGAAGGAATGTGCCTAGAATGTTCGCCAAAACCATTGCGAATGTCCTGAGAATGTTCTGAGAAAAGATTGTAGAAATATTGTTTGCATTACCCAAGAACTTCCTGGGAAATCCATTAGGATATTCCTAGAATATACCTATGAGATTCTCAGTACATCCTGAAAAGAATATTCCTGCTTGATTCTAAAAATATGCTTGAAATATTCTTAGAATATATCTACATATATCATTCTCAATATGTATCCTAGACAAACATTCTCGTTTGGTTCTAGGGATATACTTGGAATGTAAATTTTCTCATCCATAATGCTAATGCTCCTTTCAGTCCTTTTATATTAAAGGCAGTGAAAGAGAGTTGTTAGAAAATTTCTCTGGAAAACACAAGTGTTTAACCTAAGCTCCGGTTTGGAGCTTGTTATGCTCTCGTCGCGGTAAGCACGCCAACTGAGAGAAACAGGTTCCAAGGTGATTCAAACACTAGGCAAGATGTAGATCTTTAATAGCGCGTGGTTCCCTCTCTTGGAAGTTCCACAAAGCAAAAGAAAAAGAATAAACCTATAATATTTTTAGTAGGTTCTAGATAGAGCATTATTGTTTAATTGTTCAATCAAGATTTTTGAGTAGGTACTTTGGATAATTAGATGAACAATATGAAAATATTCTTATCTTACATAAACTTCTCAGCACAACTTGGTAGGTATATTATTAATACTTGAAAGAGATATTAGCCGAAAGAACATTTTTTAAGGTACATTATAATAATGTTTGTATGACAATATTCAAATAATGTTATATAAAGTAGGTCCTTAGCACAATCTTTCAGGTAGGTGCAGAGAACCAACATGTCTAGTACATAAATAGAACGTTTGAATATGAATATTTCAATCGAAACAATCTTAGAATAGGTATTCATTAAACATTCCTAAAAGAACATTCCAAAAAGCACTTTGAGGGAATATTCTGAGAATATGAATGTTCTTTCACTGTTATGTGGGGAGTAACATGAAAAAATAGAGTTTCAAGTATGTATTTCATAAAATGTTAATTTTTCTACAAGCACCAATATTTTTTTCGCTTTGAATAATAAAGTCTGTTTTTTTTTTAAAGATAAAAGTCAAAATGACATTATGTTGGCAATACAATGTAAAATTGTCAATGCTTTCAAATTTATTATGTAGAAAAGGCTTGTGTTGCCAACATAGTTACTAAATTTTTGACTTGGGGAATTATCTTTAAAAAAAAAAAAAACTTTAAGTAGGTAGGTATATAATTGTGAGGTACTTTGTATAAGCTAAATATCGATTTTGCACAACCCTGTTTGTTTTATATCGAATAATCAAATATTTGAACACAACCCTGTTTCTGCTCTTACTCTCAAATGTATTTTTTCCTTTGTGCACTTGTGCAAAAGAAAGAGACGGAAGCATGGATGCTAGCCAGATCCGACATCGACAGAGAAAAAAGTGAATAATCAACCATCCAAGGACCTTGTTTTTCAGTTATACATGTAAACCCCATACTTTGTGA